ACGACTTCTTGCCCGACCAGGCCGCGGGGCTGTGCGGCAGCGATGGACGGGCACGCAGGGCCACCCAGCGCCTGAGTGTCCTGCTGTGCGCTAACGCCGACGGCAGCGAGAAGCTGCCCCCACTGGTGGCCGGCAAGTCGGCCAAGCCTCGTGCAGGCCAAGCCGGCCTGCCCTGCGACTACACTGCCAACTCTAAGGGTGGTGTCACCACTCAGGCTCTGGCCAAGTACCTGAAGGCCCTGGACACCCGCATGGCTGCAGAATCTCGCCGAGTCCTGCTGTTGGCTGGCCGCCTAGCTGCCCAATCCCTGGATACCTCGGGCCTGCGGCATGTGCAGCTGGCCTTCTTCCCTCCAGGCACCGTGCAGCCGCTGGAGCGGGGAGTGGTCCAACAGGTGAAGGGCCACTACCGCCAGGCTATGCTGCTCAAGGCCATGGCCGCGCTAGAGGGCCAGGATCGCTCAGGCCTGCAGCTGGGCCTCATGGAGGCCCTGCACTTCGTGGCTGCAGCCTGGCAGGCAGTGGAACCTTCGGACATAGCTACCTGCTTTCGTGAGGCTGGCTTCGGGGGTGGCCCTAATGCCACCATCACTACTGCCCTCAAGAGCGAGGGGGAGGAAGAGGAGGAGGAGGAAGAAGAGGAAGAGGAAGAGGAAGAGGAGGGTGAAGGGGAGGAGGAGGAGGAGGAAGAGGAAGATGGTGAGGAGGAGGAGGAAGGGGGGGAAGGAGAGGAGCTGGGGGAGGAAGAGGAGGTGGAAGAGGAGGGTGATGTTGATGACAGTGATGAGGAGGAAGAGGAGGAAGGGGATGAGAGCTCCTCTGAAGGCTTGGAGGCTGAGGACTGGGCCCAGGGAGTCGTGGAGGCTGGTGGCAGCTTCGGGGGCTATGGTGCCCAGGAGGAGGCCCAGTGCCCTACCCTCCATTTCCTGGAAGGTGAGGAGGACTCTGAGTCAGACAGTGAGGAAGAGGAAGAAGACGATGAGGAGGAGGATGAAGATGATGAAGATGATGAGGAGGATGGTGATGAGGTGCCTGTGCCCAGCTTTGGGGAAGCCATGGCTTACTTTGCTATGGTCAAGAGGTACCTCACCTCCTTCCCCATTGATGACCGTGTGCAAAGCCACATCCTCCACTTGGAACATGATCTAGTCCACGTGACTAGAAAGAACCACGCCAGGCAGGCAGGAGTTCGGGGTCTTGGACATCAAAGCTGAGCCACTGGGCCTAGCTGTGCCCCCAACCTGGATGTGGCAGCTCCAGCCCAGGGCAGAGGACTCTCTGGGGAGCCGCTGTGGGTGGAGCCAGTGTGGGGAGCCCCAGATCCTGTAGTGATGTTCTCCTGGCCCTGTGACAGGCCCAGTCACCTGGTAGGGCCTCGGGCTGGCATCAGCCTCACTGCCTGCTTATTGCCTCTTTCTCAGAATCCTCTTTCCTCCCCATTTGCCCCTGGGCTTGGGGGACCAGGTGGGGAGGGTGGGGAGCTGTCCGGTGCTACCACACCGTGCCATCAGTGGACTAGGCTACAGTAGCAGCCAGGGATGAACCCTGGAGGCTCCTGGCCAGAGAGTGCCTCTCCCCTCTGCCATCCACACCAGGTCTTTGGTGGGGGGGACCCCAAAGCCATTCTGGGAAGGGCTCCAGAGAAAGGTCCAGCCTAGGCCCCCACAAGGCTGGCAGCCCCCCATCCCTACCCCTGGGCCGCCTTGAGAAGCACAGTCTAACCACAGGCTCCTGAGCCTGCCTCTGCCTGCTTCCCCACCTCCTCAGTCCCTTTCTCTGGTCCAGTCTATGTTACTCTGGCCCTTGGTTTTCTTTCCAGATTGGAGGTTCTCAAGAGGCCCTCCAGAGGAGTGATTATGGGCACTTCCCTTGTGGGCAGCTGCAGGCCTCATGCCTCTCCTCCCTCTCTGGCAGGGCTCTATCCTGGGCAGGGGACCTGGGGCTGGGCCCAGAGTCCAGCCATCCAGCTGCTCCTTACCCAGTCTGAATTCAATAAATCCGTCCACCTCCCTTTTGTGGGGGTGGATGTTTTAACAGCCAAGGATGCATCCTTCATGGTCTGGGCTTGCGTCTGTCTTGGGGACACTTCTTTCCCGGTTCTCTTTGGTCCTTGTTCTGGTGGGACAAATGTTGAGAGAGTGGCCACAGCCTAGGCCCTGACCAGGGTAAGGGGCAACATCCATATCTAAAGATTTTCTAGGCTTGGCGGGAGGGGGGCAGGTTTGAGAAAGCTGGGCCTTGCACCGCTTTGGGGTTAGAGAGAAGCTTTGGGTCAGTTGGCTGGGACAGGAGGGAGGGAGCCAACAGTCCCTGTGGGCCAAATTAAATTGGGAACTAGGCCTATCAAGACCCATTAAAGAAGATTCCTTGCAGGAGTGAGGCCAGAGGGCAGAAAGAAAGGGTTGTTGGGGCAGCTCCTGTGGTCCAGGTTGGAGTGGGTAGGAGCATACAGGCCACCCCTTGTATGGTGCCTTAAGAGGAATTCCTCTAGGCCTTTCAGTGATTAGCATCTCCAAGCCTGGTAGCTATCCTTGGGAAAAGTGGCAGGAGGAAGGTGAAATTGCTGAAGAAGACCAGCCCCGAGAGATTGAGACTTAGAAACTCTCTTGTGTGGTGCCCTCCAGGGGCCCCCGCAGTCCAAAGGTGAGGACAATCCCCTCTGCTGATCCTACCCTCTTTCTTCAGGGCCAGCTCACCCCTCCCAGGCCCTACCTCATTGAGGCCCTCAGGCCCCAGTGGTTCCAGCAAGGGAAGGGCCTGAGCTTGAGCCTGCTGGCAGCTCTGGGCCCCAAACCGGTTTTCCCACCTTGACTGGGGCTGGCATATCGTCCCTGTGGTTCCCTCCCTACACCTCCTTGCGGTTCCTCCTCTCCCCACCCTGGAATGTGGGGGTGAGGGGCAGTCATCCAAGTCATCTTTTTAAACAAGAAGGTGGAGTGAATGTTCCACACTTGGCCTTCAGTACCTCTGGCACTCAAGGATTCCCTCCAGGCCTTGAAGGTTTCAGAAGTAAGTGATGGCAAAAGTAGTTGGGATTCCCACCCTGGCCCCCATCGTGTCCCCATCTGAACCCTGGAGGATGAGACAGGGATATCCAGCCTACCTGCTTGCCCGCTCTGGAGAAAGTAGGTGGGAGCATTAGCCTTCTCCCCAGGTGCCCCGGCCAACCAAGTCCATCACCTCAAATACAACAGAGCAAATCATTTCCGTTTGTCTCTTGCCAGCAAGAACACCTCTTTTGCTGGGACTGAGATCATCTCTTTAATGATAACACCAACTGATGTTAATAGGGCTCTTTCTGTGTGCCAGGTTCTGTGCCACTTTAGATGCTCACAAAGCCCGTATGAGGTAGGTAAAGCCGTGAGAAAACACAGAGAAATTCAGTTATGTGCTGAAAGCCACACTACTGGTCTGGGAGAAGCAAGCTTTCTCCCCAGGCTGACCCTAGAAGTGCCCCTGTGCTGCAACTTTGTGCCCCTTCACTAAGGAATTCATAACTCTAACCATATTCCTAAAGGAACTGGTTACCAACTGTGCTTCTAACCCATGGAAGAATATCTCTTGGACTGAGATGAGTGATGTGGAAGTGTCTGCAGTTGCTCTTGAAGCTCCTGTATCTATAATCAACTCCTATTCCCCCAGTCCCCAAATATAGGTCTGTAAATATCCTTTACCATTCTCCCTATGACCCCAGTGGGACAAGTAGGTGAGAACCATCACCATTTCATCAAGGAAGAAATAGGGTTAAGGAGTTAAATGACCTGCCTAAGACACTAAACTTGAGCTCTGGTGTTCTCCGTGGAGTTTGGGTTACATATTAAATATCTTGCCAGGACATTGCTGTGGTGGGGGGTGCGGAGGTGGGGATGGGGCAAGTGGTGAAAGGATGGCCCTATGAGCACAGAGCTTTGAGAAGGGACCTGGCAAGGTTCACTGTCACACAGACTATCATACTGTCCAGAAGTGAAGCAGCCCGGTGATTATCAATGGACCCCCAGATAAAGCTGACAAACACACAGTGGGATACTCCCTTCACTTGGGACTGAGGGCTAAAAGACCCTGGAGGGGGATTCCAGTCCTGGGGATGCTGATACAGCGGTTCTGGGAGCCTGGTTGGCTTTGGCAGTTCCCAGAGTGGGCCAGCGTCTGGTCAGCAGGTGGCGTGGACACAGAGATGATTTCTTCTTGGGAGGCGGGGAAGACAAGGCCACCCAACCACCTTTTCAAAGCTGGGGCCTAAGAGGAGGTAGCGGGGTAAAACTACAACTCCCAGAAGTCCCTGCTCCCGGGCGAGGCTAATGTGTTGCCATGGTTTCAGAAAACAATATGGCCGCTCCCAGCTGGGACCGGAGTCTGGGTTAGAGAGGCTGAGGTGGATCTGGGCGGCTGCAGTAGCGAGAGAGGAAGCTCTTGAGGGGTCGTGAAGTTGGGGCTGGACGCTGCACAGCTGGAACGGCCTGACCTTGACGAGGGCGCCAATGGCGAGCAGCGTGGATGAGGAAGCGCTGCACCAGCTCTACCTGTGGGTAGACAACATACCTCTGTCCCGGCCCAAGCGAAATCTCTCTCGGGACTTCAGTGACGGAGGTTTGTGCCGCAGTATATGTGTATGTGTGTGTGTGTGTGTGTGTGTGTGTGTGTGTGTGTGTGTGTGTCCGTCCGCGCCGCCCGCGCTCACCTGAGTGTGTCCTGTATGTTCGGGTGGGTAAGGAGTCTGTGTGCATACATGTCTCTCTGGGTTTGTGTGCTTGTGGTGGTGGGGTGGAGGCGGGTTGGTGGGACGGGACCTCCTAGGACTTCAGTTGTAGAAGTGTGCATCTGTGGGAATGTGGGCATGTGTGTGTGTCTCTGTATATATGTCTACATGTTCTATCCCTTATGGATGTGTGTGGTGTGTGTGAGTGTGTTTCTGATTCTGTGAGTCCCTCCTGGGACTTTAATGACTAAGAAGTGTGTCTCTGTATGTATTTGTGCATCTGTGTGTGTGCACGCTTATTGCTGTATTCTGTATGTCTGTCTTGTGGGAGTCTGAGCATGTGTGTGTTCATATGTTCTATCCTGTAAGTGTGTGTGTGGGGTCTTGCTTGAATATGTTTCTTTGTGACTGTGTAGGTGTCTGTCGAAGACTGTCTCCTGGGATTTTAATAACAGAAGTATGCATCTCTGTGTATATTGGTGCGTATGTGACTCTTCTGTGTATGTGTGTTAGTGACTGCCTCTTGGAACTCCAATGATGGATGTATGCGTCTGTGTATGTGTTTCTGCTTCTCTGTGTGCTTTTGTGTGTGTATGTGTGCATATTTGTGTCAATTCCTAGGGTGAGGTTCCAGGCTCCTGAAGGGTTCCCTTGGAGACTCATTCTCTCGTAGAGGACCAGGGACCTTAGTTTTCATGTGCCCTGAGTTAATGATGAAGGGATGCAGCTCCCCTGGGGTGTGCTGGAGTTTTAGTCTCTTGATCACTGATCTTGCTTTCTCCCCCGCCTCACCTCTCCCTCCCTGTTGTCCTTCCCCCTTTCCACATCTCCACCTCTCCATTTGTCCCCACCACTCTGTCACCCCTGATTCTCCACCTCACCCCTCACCTTTTTTCTCCCTTCCCCTTCCCCACACTTATGCCCGCCCGCACCCCCCTCTCCCTCAGTCCTGGTCGCAGAGGTCATCAAGTTTTACTTCCCCAAGATGGTGGAGATGCACAATTATGTCCCTGCCAACTCTCTCCAGCAGAAGCTCAGCAACTGGAGTCACTTGAACAGGTAGAATACTTGGGCGCCCTAGTGGGCTCTCCAGCCCCCTACCCTGAGATCCCAGGAAGGGCTTCCCCAGCCCCTCCACCTCCTTCATTGGTCTCTCAGCCCAGACTGATGGAATGGTGGGGAGGGACAATGCAGACAGAATCTATCGGTGACAAAATCAAAGGATTCTTCTTTTGAGGAGGCAACAAGGACCCTCGGGAGACCCAAACACTGGGCTCAGATTGGGTGCCTTGCATTCCCCAAGAGCTTCACTCTGAAACGGCTACAATTGCTGCACCCCTTCCTTCCCCAACACCCCTCACTTCATTCCCCCAGGACCCAGTCCACCATCCCTGTGTCTACCCCCTAGGAAGGTTCTGAACAAGCTGAACTTCTCGGTACCAGAGGACGTGATGCGTAAGATCGCACAGTGTGCCCCGGGCGTGGTGGAGCTGGTGCTCATTCCACTGAGGCAGCGCCTGGAGGAGAGGCAGAGGCGCAGGAAGCAGGGCGCTAACTCCTTACAGGTGCCATCCCACTCAGCTTCTCACATTGTTCTGGTGGAGCTTCCCAGGCAGCAGAAAGCCCTGCCTTGATGATAAGTGTGGGAGAAGGGTGCCTGGCCTGGGAGCTCCTTGGAGGTGGCAGCCTCAGCTCACAGCAGACCCTGGGGGTTCTTTCAGGAGCTGGCTCTCCAGGATGGCACTGAATACATGGATGTGGGTAAAGTGGCCTCTCCTTTTCTTCCCTCCCATGAGGAGTTTTCCTCCTGTCCTTCCTTCCTATGGGCAGGGGTAGGGGTGGGTGGGAAGCGGGAAGACAGGAAAATAGGATTCCAGCAGGGTTACTCCTCCACTTGCCTTTTCTCAGGTTTGTCCCAGAAGGCCAGAGGGGAAGCTGCCCTGGACCCCCAGGGAAGGGGCCAGCTCAGGTAAGGAAGCTGGGAGTTCCTGACCTCTCCAGGCCTGGTAATCTCCCCATGCAGCCTGGGAGGTGAGGGTGAAAATGTAGGAAAGTCAGGGACAGGTGGGAGAAGGTGAGGAGGGAAGGGAAGGCCTGGCCAAGGAAGGGTGAGGGTGGGGCCCGAGGTCCAAGCCTCTGCTAAGCTACCTCTCACCCTAGGGTGGACCATCAGCCTGCACCCCGGCCTCCGGGGTATAGTCAGGCGCTGCAGGGCGACCCAAGCTTCATCCTCCAGATCGCTGAGAAAGAGCAGGAGCTGTTGGCCTCACAGGAGACCGTGCAGGTGAGGACACACTGGGAAGGTGCCGGGGGATTGGGGCCTGGAGAGGCAGGGGCAGGGCGTTGGGCTTGACTTCTGCGCGGCTTGGCCCAGGTGCTGCAGATGAAAGTGAAACGCTTGGAGCACCTGCTCCAGCTCAAGAACGTGCGCATCGAAGACCTCTCCAGGCGGCTCCAGCAGGCGGAGCGTAAGCAGCGGTGAGCAGAGGCCCCGGTGCGCGGGCACGCCCCAGTATCCGCCGGAGCCCAGATGCCAACGCACCCAGCACCCACCGACAGACTAACGAATGGGCGGGCGGAGCCAGCAACTCCAATGAGCCTGGGACAGGAGCGCCCCCTCCCTTGGGTGTGGGTGAGCGTTGGGGGCAGTGGGACAGGAACCCCCCACAGCTGAGCCCTGGGACTGAGCCACCTCCTTACACTCCATCCGAGTTAGGAGACTGGACCGCTTTCCAGAACCCAGAAGCCACATGCAGAGACCTGGCCTGCACCCCAAAGCAGTGCCCAACACCAGGGGCTGTACTTTGGTGCTTCCTGTGCTGGGCCTTGGGGAGTGGTCCCCCAGCTTGGCCCACACCCCTAGAACCAGGTCCCCACCTTGCTCTGAAGACAGCGGCAGCTCCATCCAGGCTAGTCCTCTGTCTGCTGGGCAATGGGGAAAGCTGCCTCAGATAGCTGAGGGGCTTCCTTGCCCATCCTGGGCACTCACCTGGGACCCATCTAGAGGCTGGAGAACACAGCAACTGGAGAAGAAGGGGTGACGAGTGAGCTCAGCCAGGAGTGGGGAAGACATGGGCTATGCCTCTTCTAGTAGCCCTCCCTCCCATGGGGTATGTTGAGAATGTTTGGGGGACATGGGACAGGGTTGCCTCCATTAAAGGTGTGCTCTCCTTCCCGTGCCTGCATTCTCTCTCTGCCTGGGTCCCTGAGGGCAGCAAGTTCCTGTTCCTCTTGTACTGCCCCCTCACCCCTTGAGTGAAAGGGCCTTTTGGGCCCAGAGTGGGTCTTACCTTATGGATGACTGGGCCAGATGGCCACTGCTTGGTAGGTTGATGATACAACCAGGGGTTAGGTCTTGTGCACTAGGACAGCCTGGCTTCTAACTCTGGCTTTAGACTGACCCCCAAGCCTACCCTCACAGGGTCCTCCAACCCTGTCCAAACCCAAGCTTCAGATTCTCCCATAAATATAGCCACACAGGCACTCTCAACCCTGCTTATGGACTCACTCCTAAATCTGTCCTCTGTATGATTCACAGCCCTCCCACGGACTGATTCCAGGTTCTGTGGATCAAGGCCAAGCTTGACTCCCAATCCCAACCAAGATACCATGGCCTTGGTGTGACCCTAACTCTGATCATCTACTGACTTCAATACTGAACATTTGAAAACCCTGACACCCCTCATCTAGTCCTAGGCATACACTCAGCATACCCAGGAGAAACTTAATCTCTTGGGTTCTGTATTCTGGGACACATGTACAGCAATGTTCATAGCAACACTCTTTGCAATAGCAAAAGAACTGAAAAGAACATGTATTAGTTATCTATTACTGTGTAACAAATTACCACAAACTTAGTGGCTTGAAACAGCACACATTTCATATTTTCTGTGGGTTGAGTCCAAACATGGCTTAGCTGGGTCCTCTGCTTCAGGGTTTCTCACAAGGATGCAGTCAGTGTTGGGCAAAGCTATGGTCTCATCTGAAAGCCTGACTGGGGAAGGACTGACTTCCAAGTTCATTTGGCTATTGATAGTTAAGTTCTTTGTGGCTGTTGAACTGGGGTCTTTAGCTTTTGCTGGTTATTGGCTGGTGGCTGCCCTCATTTCCTTGCCACATTGTGGCCATCTCCAGTATAGCAGCTAGTTTCATTAAACCAACAAGATCGAAGTTACAATCTTATCTAATATAATCACAGGAGTGATAATCCACATTTGTGGTATTCCATTTATTAAAAGTAAGTCAGCCCATGTTCAAAGGGAGAGGTACTCATGAGTGTGAATACCAGGAGGCAGGGATCACCAGGAGCCATTTTAGAAGCTAACAGCCATGAGGATGAAAATACAATGAAAGGATAAAACCTAAGATAGTTGTTACTTCCGAGAAAGCAGAGAGCTTATTCATTCTAGTGTTGGACACTTGGGTTGTTTCCAGTTTGGGGCTATTACAAATAGTGCATGTCATATGCATGTCTTTTGGTGCATAAGTAAGAGTGAAATTTTGGGGTCACAGGGTTGGAATTTATCAGCTTTGTTAGATATTGCCAAGCAGTTTTCCAAGAGGTTATAGTTCTTTAATTTTTGTTAAAGAGAATGGAGTCCAGAAAACCATGTGTTTGGAGTGGATGCTTAACATATGCTCAATCTGTTCTCCTAATCTGGAGTTGCTCATATTTCCTCCACATATCACCCATCTCCACTGAGCCTGTGGCTTCCCTTAGTCGTCTGGCTCTGGTAGATCCATTTGCACAGGAAGTCCCAGGGCCTGATGTCAGCTCCCCCACCCTTCTTGCTACACAGGCCTATTGGGATTCGATGGCAGCCATATACCTCCTAGCCTGACTTCCTCCTGTCCTGAAAAGTCTCATTTCCTCCTGGAGGCTTCTGGAACCATCTGCACTTATACTATGGCTTTGGGGCCTTCCCTGGGAGCCTGTAGTATCCTCAGGGGCATGGAAAGCTCTGTATGGCAGGTCCTCCCAGTTGGCCAGTCAGCCAGACAGTCCAGTGCCTGGGAGTGTGGGGAGGGTTTGGCAGGCAAAGGAGACCACAGTTCTTTTTGTGTGGTGTATGTCTCACCCTAAACTGTGAGTGCCTTTAACTCCAGAGCCTAGCACGGTAACTTCCTCATCATATATACTTAGTAAATATTTATTGAAAGGAGTTGGCCCCAGGCAGTGCACAGTTAGTAGCTAGTCCATGTGTTTGAAAGAGCCCATACCAGAAGGTGGCTAGAAAGACATAAAAAAGGCAGGCCTTAACCTGCCCCAGAAGAAAGAGTGAGTTTTGCCTAGGGAAGGAGACTGGGAAGGGCATTCTAAGTGGGGAAGTAGCATAAGGAGGGTATCAAATGTCTGCATAGACTAAGAAGGTAAAATAAATGTGAGAAAACAGGGATTGGTGAGGACTATCGTAAATTGATGTGCCAGCCTTTGATACTAGACTGGAATTCAGTCCATGTTGTTAGATCTTCTGATACTTCAAAAGAGGAATAAGAGGATGAGGAAGTGAAGGAGTAAGAAGAATTAGAATTTTTGTTTTGTGTTGCCTGGTGTGCGTTTGCTTTAACTTACTGGGGATTAAACCCAGGACCTTGTGCGTGTTAAGCATGCACTCTACCACTGAGCTACAGCCACCCCTCATGAATTAGAATTTTTAAGAGCCCCATGTGGGCTAAACAAAATACATCTGTAGCCTACTTTGGGCACACTGTGTGCCAACTTTAGACCTTGAATAGAATAGACATGGGAATACAACTGTGGGGGAGGCATAGTGGGGTGCATGGAATGGTGGGGTTGGGTAGTGAGAAAGCATTTGGCAACAGTGGATGTGCTGGGATCAGAATGTGTAAATCTCCCAATGACCACGTGCGATGGAGGATAGTATCTCAAACGCTAGAGTGTGCACCCATCACAAAATGATGCTGAAAAGTTTGAGGCTTTGCTGGAGACAGTCCCAGATCACGGAGCGCTTTGGAGCAGGGGAGGTTGAGATAGAAACAACAGCTCAGGAAGGTTAATTTGCCAACAGTGTGTAGACCAGAGACCAGAAGTTAGGGGCCACCAGGGATCCAGCGGAGGGTAGGAGCCTTGGGGGGTCCCCAAAACCTGCCTCCCCGGTCTTTCTGAAAGGAAGCTGGCCCTCAGTCCCCCATACTATCTTCTCCCCTAGTTAACGTTGGAAGGATGGAGCCATGCTCCGGACCATTCCCCGCAGGTACTTGAGGGACCTGTTCCAGCTAGCGAGATGGGGAGGGTTTTTTTTTTTTTTTTAAAGGACCAGCAGGCGGAGCAGCGGATAGAACCCTTAAACACCCAAGGGCCACGTTTTTCGCTCCCAGGCTCTGTGCAGGCGCCCACATCCCACTCCGTAACGCTGTGTTAGGCGCATCCCTCTGCCATGGCGACCGCCTCCATGGAGACGGGGAGCAGAGGCTGCGGTCCCCGGGGGGCGCCTGCATGGTTCTCCCCACCCACCCTGCGTGCCTTTTTTGTTCTGATGCTTATCCGGGCTGCCCGGGCTCCCTGGACGCATCTCAGGTCCGTGAGGAAGAGCTTCCTCCGAGGCAGGGGCATGGGACGGAAGGGGAAGATGCCGAAACTTGGGGATCGCCAAGCGGGAAGGATGTAGCGTTCCTCGGGTCCTGGAGAGGACTGAGCGATGCTCGTAACGACTGCCAGTGCGGGCCAGGAAGCCAAGGAAGAGAGGAGAGCGTCAGTTGCCCCACCTAGCCCTGAGCCCCACCTTATGAGGGCGTCGAGCCCAGGGGATGCCCCTTCCAAGTTGGGCGGAGACGGGAGGTGCAAACTCCGAGGCTGAAAGTGGACGCGGTCAAGGCCTGTTCAAGGTTCTTCCTCTTTCTCTTGCTTTTGTGGGATTCTGGCCCCTGGCCACATCGGGCTGCCTGGCTGACTTCATCGCGAGAACTCGACGGGCCCTGGGGTGTGGGCTCTTAAGGCGCAGCCGCAGGGCCTCCTGCAGGTGACACAGTGGTGCATCGCCCGTTGGCGGTTCACTAGGGCCCGCTTATTGGCCATAGGAGGCCTCGCCCCACCCCCCCAGTCGACCAATGGGAGGAGGTGGGGGTGTGCCCTTGAGGCGGTAGGCGGCGGCGCGGGGCTTCCTCCTCGTGTTCGGCGTTGAGCCCCCGCTGCCGCCTCGACCGCCACCGCTGCTGCCTTCGCCGCCACTGCTGCCGCCTTCGCCGCCACCGCTGCCGCGGTCGTCCCTGCCTGGCTCGTCCTCGGGGTACTCCCCACACGGTGAGACTGCTCTCCCTTCTGCCACCTCCCGGTTCCGCCCAGATCGCGGAGATCCCCTCGTGGTGGAGCCGCTGTTCTAGGTAGTCGGTGCCTGGGACCCTATCGGGCTGGGGCTTGAGGCCTCCTATGTCGGAGCTGGGCCATGGAGGGCTCCCTGGTACCTGAACTGGGGAGATGTCAGGCCCCAGCGCTGCAGTGACCGTTAGCTGGTGGAGCTGGAGTGTTTTTCGCGGGGCGCTGCAGGGGCACGTGTGACACAGTAAGGGCGGGGGCCTAACGGGGTCAGCGCCGTCAGCAACTCCCCCCCTCCCACTGCTATTGTCACCACCTCGCTGTGTGACCTTGGACGAGTAGCCTCTCTGAACCTCGCGTGGCTCGGCACCCTCAGGGAGGAGGGCGGTGATGTCGGGGAGTACGAACTCCGGAGACTACTGCGTCAGCAGAGGTGAGGGTGGGGACGGCACAGGATTATCTCTGGGGAACAGAACTGCCGCCTCGCAGCCCGGAAGGGGTGCAATGGTGGGGCGTACAAACGCATCTGTCCCCTTACAAGATGAGGATGAGGTGGGCATGGGGGCGCCACACCCACAGGGATGGAGGCGGGAGAGGATACAGGTTCCTATACTCTGGGCCCCTGGTGCTTCCAGGAGCTTGGCCACCACCTCCTCGTTGTTACAGAGCAGGGTGGTTCTGTTTAGGGTCTGGACCAGTGTTCCTGTTAGTGGGCAGTGACCCTGGTGGACTGAGAAGGGAGTCCTTGGGTTGCCTTTCCTCTTGAATCTTGGCTTGGGAAGTGCTGGTAGGGCATTTCTCTGCCCGGGGAGCTGAAGAAGGTCAAGAGCAGCTGTCGTCCCCTGGACCTGGCCTGGCCTCTACTTCTTGGGGCCTGGGTGGGGCAGCAGCCTGGAGGCCAGAGATGTCTAAGCACCCTATAGCTAGGGGCATGAAGGGGTATGGGGAGGAGGTGCTTCGGAGAGGAGGGCAGCACTTCTTGGGGAGACAAGAGGGTGTGGGATGGTGGGGGTCTCTTCCCCAGTTCACTCCTGCTCCACCTGTTTCTGAGAGAGAAAACACCAATATTTATCTTTACAACTTTGCCCTGCTGGAGGGAGGAGGAAATGGAGTCACAGCCATACTGAATTGATGTAAAACTGTCACAACCACTCCTGACCTCCAGCCTTGCCTTTCCAGGCCTTGTTCTAGGTTTGTGGTCCACCCCACTGTGTGCCCACTCCTATGTCAGGTTCTGGAGTCAGCAGGTTAGGGTGGCCTCGATGGGTGCTCTTTTTACATGCTTGAGCTTTCATGAGAGGCTTCTCTGGGACTGAGTGCTTAAGCCAGGACTGAGCCCTGAGCTGGGAGAGGGAGGATGGAAGGTTATAGAATTACTGGCTCAGAAAGTCCTTGAACAGGTTGACAATGGGGATTGAGGGATGAATGAGAAACAAAGCCCCAAGAAGCATGCCCCTAGTCACAAAGCAGAGGACAAGCTGGGGCTGGCCCTGTGATGCCTGGGATTTGGAGGCTGCCTCTGGGGCAGAGAGGTGGTGTGGGGGTAAGCTGTGGGGTGGAGGGCATGAGGGTGGCAGATTCTGGAGCTCCACTCTGCCATGGACAGACTGTCTTTAGCCTTCCTCTGAGTCTGGAGCCCTGGGCTCCAGCATGTGATATCCTGGAGTAGTAGTTAGCACCCTGCAGGGCAGGAATATAAGGAGCTGAGAACTCTGGGTTCCCATGTAATTGTCCATCTGCCTATCTGTCATGTCCCTGCGCTTGCTCCTTGTGCCAGAGGCTCCACTGGGTCTGGCTGACGCCTGCCCAGGGTAGGATAACCTCAAAGCAGCCTTTCTCTCTAAAGACGAGGGGGACCTGAGCTAGCAACTCTCTGTTTCTCAAAGAGACGTTTCTCCCAATTTCTGTCAGAGTAACTGAGAGCCGAAAAACTCCCCCAAGCCCCTTGTTTCAGCTTTCCAGCCCTCTCTGTCCTGTGACTGGCCATGGTACTGCCCCTGACCTGTTGACAGCCATCTAGGGGAGGGGGTGTATTTTATTTTTTGGCCAGGTGGGGGCATTTCCCAGGTTGTACATCTTTACATCTTCTTTATGAGCTCTTCTGGTTGAGGGGGTACAGTGGGCTTCCAGCAGTCTGCTCTCTGACAATCCCTGGGGACCTGGCTGGCCTGGGAGTGGGGGAGGGGAAGGCAGGATGAGGGAAGGGAGGGGGAGACCCCTCAACCCTTGAGCTGTTTTCTGAGAAGGCTGAAGTCCCTGGGGCCCACCCCGAGGGCCATTCTAGGCTGTTCCAGGATTGGCCTGAAGTGCCTCTTTAATGCTGAAATTGCTGTTGCTTCGGAAGCCAGTCCTTTGGGGGATTTGCTTTGCAAAGGTTGGGGTGGAGTGGGGAGTGTTGTCACAGAGCTTCAGGCACCAGCTGCAGCAAACCCACTGAGGAAGAGGCCACTGCTTATGCCTGTGCTGCGGATGAGGAAACTGAGGCACAGGGACATGAAGTAACTTTTCCATGCAGCCTGCATTTGCACCAGAAATTCTGGGCTCCTTTCCACGCCCGTGCTGCCTCTCAGGGGCTGTGCTGCTTGGGCCACCCTCAAGACTTGGCTGGCACAGGAGGAGGCCTGGGGTTTCAAGGGGACCTAGTAGTTCCTGATGGACACACCTGCAGCAGGAGGAGGCCCAACGCCCTCTCCTTCCTATTCTGATGAAGAATTGTATGTGGATGATAGGCTCACAGGCGCAGTGCCCAGCAGGGCTTTCGGCTATGAAAGGAGCTTTTTCCAGCCTGCTCTGGGCCCCTGAAGTCACTTGCATCCCTGCTCTGTGTTCTCACTGCCCAAGGGTTGCAGGCAGTGCCTGAGTGCTTGCTCTGTCCTGAGCTCTGGGCAGTGCAAGTGATACGGGTCCTGCATTCGGTGGACTTCCCATTTTCAGGTTGGGGCAGGGGGACAGGTAACAACTGATTGTGGCAAGGCTAGAAGATTGCCCAGTAGTAGGCCCCAGTCTATGAAATGGGGGGAGGGGAGTACCCTCCAGGCAGGGGTTGGCTAAGAGAGCAGGGTGGGGAGTTCCTCTTCCTGAGAGCCTCCGGGGAAGTCACTGGCCCTGATGTGCCACATCTGCCTAGAGGGCCCAGCCGAGGCCCATGCTTGGGCTCCTCTTAGTTTGGTCATTGATTCATTTAACAAACATAAACTGAATACAGCTGGGCTGGGTGCTGGGGACACAGTGTTTGGCAAAAACAGTCACTGCCCTTGTAAGGTGGGGAACAGAGATATCAAATGATACCAGAAATGAGAAAGGGGATCGTTTTGAAGATTTTCAGGCCTATGCTCAGATGGGTGGGGGTGGGGTTGGGTTGTGCTACCTTGAAAAAGGTCCTCTAGGGCTGAGACCCAGGCGAAGGTGTGGATGAGGGACTGAGGTTTAGAAGGCAGGCAGTCAGGCAATAGGCAGTGGCCTGGGGAGGAAGAGGGGGAGGCGAACCTTCATATACTGGGGTTTTACGAAGTGAAGAGTGTTTTCTGAAGAGTCCTAGGAGCCTTTGCTCACCAGCCATTGTTTGAGTTTTACCCGGGGCCTCCAGGAACTGTTGTGGGAACTGGGGCGATCTTGTCACTCCCCATGGCTGCGGAGGTGTGGCTGGAGCAGCCCCTGCACAAGGTAGGAAGAGGGCCTGATCCCTTGCACTGAGCCCACAGCTTCAGGGCGTGGCTGGAGTGGGTGGGGTGGGGCCAGGCTCTCTGGGGAGCAGCTGAGCATGCGGGGCTAAAAAGGCTGCCCCTCTGGGACTGAACCCAGCGTGCTGGCCTGGGGCTACTCCTGCCCTGGCCACTCCTGCATTCCTGAAAGCCTTGCCCTTCCTTTTACCTCCTGAGGCTCCCTTCTACCTGGGGCTCATGGTACCAAAGCTGTTCACCCTGCACTTGAGGCCGGACTTGGGCCCAGGTGGGCTTCTCGCGTTGGGAAATGGGGAGGGAGAAGAGGCCTACTTCCAGGGCAGCCCGCTGCCTGAAGGACCTTGAGGTCATGCCCTCCACAGGCCCAGCCCCAAATCTGAGGCCACCCTGTGGTTTCTTTTCATTCCCTGGACTAGCCATGGGTCACTCATCTCTAAATACTTCAATGTGTATCTCTGGCAAATAAGGACCTACTTCTCTATATAATCCAATTCCATTATCTCACCTAACTAGATCAGCTTTTGTTTCTTAATGTCATCTAAGATCCAGTCCCACTCACTCACATTTCCCAACTATCCCCCAAATGTCTCTTTTTATAGGTAGTTAGAAACCCCCTAGCCCATTTATTTTTCTTCTTTCAACTGACCTGGTGGAAAAAACCAGGTCAGCCGTCCCATAGAGCACCCTGCCTTCTTGGTCTCTTTGTGTGTTAATTTAGAGCAGCAAAGGGCCAGATAGTAAATATTTTAGACTTTGCAGGCTATGTGGCCTCTGTGGCAACTACTCAAAGTAGTTTTGCTTTAGTGCAAAAGCAGTTTTAGACAACACATAAACAAATGAGCACCACTGTGTGCCAGTAAAACTTTACAAAAAAACAGTGGTGGCCCTCCCACCGGCTGTAGTTTGCCCATCCTCTATCTAGAACAACTTCCCTCCTTTATTTTTCTTCTTGCAGATTGAGAAAAAAAAAAAAAACTAGGTCAGTTGTCCTGTAGAATAAGCGTGCCTTCTGGATTTGTCTCCTTGCCTTCTCATGGGATCAGTTAATTTGTTCCACTGGCCTCTGTGTTTGCAGTAAGCTGGAAGTTGGAGGTCTAGGGGCTTGTTCGATGCAGGTTAGACATTTGGGGCAGGACTCCCTTGTCAGTGACGCTGTGACTCCGTGCTGCCTCACATCAGGAGGCATCAGCGTGTCTGGCAGTCCCTCTGTGAACTGAGCCGGCTGACGTCACATCCCTCCACTGCAAACTTGTGTCATTCCCTTTAACCTCAGGTAATCTGACAGTGGCACTTGCACATCTGTGAGCATCCACTTCAACTTTGCCCTCCTGGTTTAGCACTCACTGATTGGTGTTGCTTCCTGCATTTGTTTTTTGGAGGTTACAGAATTATTTAGCATTTGGTCATTTCTTTGTGAAAGAAGAGCTTCCCTTTAACCACCAGGGCAATTTGGTTACAGGAAAGGCCAAGAGACAGGCTGAATTACTTCTCTTTATTGCCAATTTTCAGAATAGAGAGCTAGGGCATTGCCACCATCAGTAGTGACAAATGAAGGTTTAGGTTTGTTTGTTTTGCTTTCTCTCTTCTTTTTTCGCAATCTCTATGAATGCTCTGGTTTTATATAATTCCATCTGTTTCCATCAGTTACACTCATTATTCTTTTTAATGCTGAGACTGTCTCATCTCAGCCTATCAGAGGCCAGGCTGCTCACACAGGCTTCCTGGGGGCACCTCCCACTGCCTCTTCCCTGAGGCTGCCCTTGGGTTGCTGAGCTGGGAGGCCACCAGGAAATCAGACTGGAGTCTGAATGGTGGGTTTCGATGGGGGACAGCCCCTCCAGGGCTGTCTGTTCTGTACATGACCCTGACCAATTGCCAGGAGGGAAGGCTCTAAGGACATTATATTATGTGGGCCCTGATTTTTGTCCCCCTCCAAGCATACTGTTAACTCTGACCTGAACCCACTTGTGCAACCTGCATGTTGTGGCCTCTGGATGTGGGACGGTACAGCCTGTGTGTCTGGGCTGGGCCAGCCCCTGGAGTCACCAGCAACAGAACTGGCCCCTGGAAAGCACCAAAGAAGTCTCCTTCCTTTGTAGGCTGCCCCTTCCCACAAGCCTCAAGTGGTCTGGGCAGAAGAGTCCTGTGCTGGTGCTTTGGCACCCAGAAGCTTGAGTTCAGTACATGCTGGCTGGGCCCTGGGTCAGTAGGGTATAAGGTAGGGGTGAGGACTCTTGGTGAATGTGAGGAGTGGGTGGAGGAGTAGGGAGCAGAAGCCCCCTGTGCTAAGGGGCGTAGGCACCACTTGGGCTACTGAGCGCAGCAGGGGTTTGCTTGGGTCCTTCCTAAAGGGAAACCTCTGCTCTCACCCAGTCATAGACCCATCAGTGGCCCTGACCCCTGCCCTCCCCGCTTTCCCCCATCAGGCTCTTGCTGGTGTCCCTGGAGCATGGCAGGCTGCTGAGCTTGAGCGGTGGTGTCTGGCAGGAGCTGCGTGTCTCACCCCATGGCAGGGAGGGCGTCCATGGCTGCAGCCAACAAGGGTGAGTGCCTGCCTGGCCTGGCGGGGTTTGCAGTCTTCCAGCAGACCCTGGTGGAAGCGGGCATTGTTGAATGCATTGGCTCTGTGTGTGCCTGTCTGAGTGTGAGTACGAATTACATCAGTAATCACACCAGTGTTTGTGCTGGGAACACCTAAGCCCTAGCAGGGAACTTGGGGACCTCCGTGGGCTCCTTGGTGTGCTAGTCTAGGGAGGTGTGTCTCCAATGCTCCCAAGTTCCACTGTCAGGGTTGGGGAGCACTAGGTGCTTGTTATGAGCACTAAAGCGGGTAGGTGGGCAGGGCCACAGGAGGCTGTGGACAGGACTTTGGGTTTCATTCAGAGTCCAGAAGGGCTCATAGAGGGTTTTAGGCAAGGGAACCCTGAGGATATGAGGGCTGAGTCTCGGGGGCTCAGCAGGGAATGTGGAAGTGCCAGGCTGGCCCCCTGGGCCTCCACTGAGTATGTGAGAACCCCGGCAGTCACAGGGCCCATCAGAAGTCAGAGAGGACTGGGATCGTGCTCTGGGCAAGATGGGCTTCTTTTAGCTCAGTTAGACTGAGCTACCCTCCCCTGGGCCAGGCCCTCAGTCCAGCTCCCACTACTCTGCCTGCCTGAACTCCCTGACTTCCTGGCCTTGGAGAACCCGTCCCAGCTGGGGACAGCTGAGGGCTTAGTGGAGGGTTAAGCAGAGGAGGGAAAGGTGTCTCTGGGAGGGGTCCCGGAGGTTCCCCTGGGTTCTTCCTTCTTACCTGCCAGTGATCAGTGATGAGGTATATAGGCAGCTGCAGCCTCTCCCAGGAGGGCTGAGTGTGGCTTTTGACCCCCTTGTTTCTCCCACCCCCAGGCAGGTCCCAGAGAGCCCGTTCCTGTCCCTGCCCTCCTCCCCTCCCAGGTTGGGATCCCCAGGAGGGGCAGGCAGGGGGCCTTAGGCACTGACAGACCTGGAAGAGGAGGCCCCAGAGCAGGGAGCTTGGCACTGTGGAGGAGAGCAGCAGGCAGGGTGTCCCGAGGACTGGGGCTGAGTCCTGCACTGCCTGGTGCCTGGTGAGAATTGGGAGGACTGTCCTTTCCTGTCCCTGGTGTCGGCCTCATCCCTTCTAAGTGAAAGTTCCTATTAGCTAACCCCTGAATGCCCCCACACCCACTCTCGGGATGAGCATTTTCTGTGGGGAGACTGAGCAGGTAGGGGCAGGTGGGAGCCTGGAGCTGCATGATGTCCACTGTCCGGAAGGATGTGGCCTAGCCCAGCAGTGGATGCTGGGTGATGTGAAGGGCAGTCACAGGGGCCAGGGGTTGAGGGTACACAGTGGACTAGTTTCCTGGGACTCAGCGAAGGCCACAGTCCTGGAGCCCTCTCCTGCTTTCTTTGTAGGCAACAAGCCCAGAGTTCGGAGTATCCGCTTTGCGACAGGCCATGATGCAGAAGGCTCCCAGAGCCATGTCCACTTTGATGAGAAGCTGCATGACTCCGTGGTCATGGTCACCCAGGAGAGCGACAGCAGCTTTCTGGTCAAGGTATGTGCACACCAGCCCCCGTCATCAGCCTCATTCCCCCTCCTCCTCCCTGGCCCTACCTGGCTTCCTGGGCCTGTGCTATTTCCTCTAAGTTGGTGCCATAGACATATCTTTGTCTTTCCCTGGGCCTTGATTTTTCCATCTGTAAAATGGGAAGTGTGAGATTGCTATGAGATGAGTGCACTTAGACCGTTACTTGAGTGGGAGTGGAGCTGCTGTTACCATCCACGGCATCACTCTGACAATGGCAATTGGAAGGCAGGTGTCAGGGCTGTGGTGTCGCAGGCCTGGTTCAGGTCCAGGCCTGCTGTTCTGGGTCTGTAACTTTGGGAAGTTTACCTGAGTTTCCTCTTCTCTGAAGTAGAGATAATTCACATTCCCATAGGGTTGGAAATGGAAGGATGTCTATATGTCACACAGGTGTGAGGCTAATTAACACTGATATCTGGGTGTGACTTTATGTGCCCTTCTTTGCCACACTGATTTAAGCTCTTTGCAGGAGTATTTATCACTGTCATGTTTTCCCTCCCTCTCTCCTAGTGGCCACATCTCATCCAGCTTCTGGTGTGGCTCTTCCAAGTGCTGGGATACTGTTTTGGTCCCATATCCATTTGGGGGAGGGGGAGGAGGAAGTCTCTGGAGGGGATGGATTGGGGGGAAAACAGGGAGTGAGGCCCTCAAGTTGTATAATAAACCAGGGCTTCAGAGTTGAGCCTTGAAGGGGGGCATGGTGGGGGGAGGGGAGTGGCATCCAGTTTATTGAGACCACCTTGAGGAGGGGCCCAGATTCATGCCCATTTCTGCCCAAGTCTAAAACCCTTGCTCTTTCTCCTGCAGCTGACAACTTTCCCAAGGGAATAAACAGAATGAACCCAAACTTTCAAAAATAGCTTCCCGCCTCCCATTGCAAAATCCATTCATGTCCACTAGAGAAAAATTGAAAGACAGAGAAAATTATAAAGAAATTTAAAAGTACCTTCAATCATTCTATTCAGAAATAACCACGGTTAATATTTTGATATGTGTCATTCCGGTTTCTTTTTTAGCTTTGTTTCCAAAACCAAAAAGCTGATATCACAGTGTACACACTGTTTTTAACTTGCTTCTGTTGTGAACCACCTCCTGCCTGTGTCAGTAAATAATTCCCCACGAGATTTTACAATCACCTTGTATTCCATTATATGTATCATCAATTTAGCTGGTTCCCTATTCCTAGTGTTGTTTCTCTTTTGTACTGTTATAAATATGGCCATGATGAGTATTTTTTCCACATCTCTGAGTATTTCCCTTGGAAAATTCTGCAGGTGATGCACTGTATTACAAGATTACCATTGGCAGGTACAGCCAGAAAGCCTTCTTGAGAGGTGTGCCCTCCAGCAGCAGAGTGTGGGGGCCACAGGGACTGAGCTTTATTGTGCAGTCGTATCATCCTGATCCCACTGAAAGGCTAAATGTTCCCCCAGGGACAGGGCCATCCAGTTCCTACAACTGAGCAGGAGAGCATATGCACACATGAGCTGTGGGTCCAGCACGCACCCCTGCACCTCCTGGACTGGCATCCAGGCAGCCTACTCGCTCAGCAGCTACCCTGGCTTGTGACCCTTCACACGACTGGAGTTTCCAAGGATGGCATCTGTCCCAGAGGACATCGGATGCCAAGATCTGTGTATGAACAACAGAAATTGCTCAGGCCTTGAATCAGGGCTGTTGGGCAGAGTGAGCCTCTGAGTGGGCAGGCAGGCATCCACGTTCACGTGCCAGCGGGGCAGGCAGCAGCCTCAGTCCCACGGCTGGTGCCAGGCTTGTGGGTCAGCTCTGGACTTACACAGCTGGTCTAGCGTCTGGTTTCTAATTCCCATCCTCCATCTTGTGCTATCTGTATTGCCTGGTGGCCCCACGTGAGTGACTAGAGGACCAGCATCCCTGACCCTGGGATATTGACTCTGGGCATGTGCCGGTGGTGGTGGTGGCAGGTGGGTGGCTTGTGTTATGGAGCTTTGAGCCTCCCCTGTGGGCAGAGGTAGGTGCCTTGCTGTGGGCCACATGTGGCAGGAGTAGCCAAGAAGTCCAGGGAGGACTTATACCATGGCCACTCTGGCCTTCAGCCAGTCATTTCCTGGCTTCCATCTCATCATCTATATAACGGGCCACCGAGGACCTTTGAGGCCCATGAGACAGATGCTGAGGAGTGTGCTGGCCAAGCTGTAGGGATGGGATCCTTAGAGAAAGGGCCTGGAGCTACCAGGCTGGGGCTGTGGACTGGCTAGAGTGATGGAGGGAGTCAGGCTCCCCTGGGATTGTCAAGCAAGCCAGTGCAAAGGCCCACAGGGTCACAGGTGGCATAACCTGGGCGGGCCTGGGGGAGACTAAGTGAAGGTGCCTCCTCCCCCTCGCCCCTCCTGCTGCAGGTTGGCTTCCTGAAGATCCTGCACAGGTATGAGATTACCTTCACTCTGCCCCCAGTGCACAGGCTGAGCAAGGACGTCCGCGAGGCACCTGTCCCCAGCCTGCACCTCAAGCTCCTCAGCGTCATGCCCATCCCAGAAGGTGCGTCCCCTACTCAGGGTGCTGGAAGCCTGCTCTGCTCCAGCAGGGCCTGGGTGTGAGCAGGAGTGTGAGCATGGGGTACGTCCTTCCCCACATCTAGGGCGGATGGTCAGCTCAGCAGTCGGGGGACGTGATGCCTTTTTACGGGCTTGCAGTGTGGCAACTTGGCAGGTCCCATGCTCCAGGCCTCCCTCCCTGGACAGAAGTCCACAGGCTCATACAGTTGGCCTGTCTGCTCATCGCCTGTTAGTTACCTCAGCGGGATGACTGAAGCCACTGAGGAACTGGCTCTGGGCCTCTAGCCCTCCCTCTGCTGCCCTTCGGGAAAAATCTACCAGAAACTCAGCAACTCTGAGCAGCTACCTCCCAAGCATCCGCCAGACCTGGGCTTGGGCTTGGGGCTGCTTCTCCACACACTGCCAGTTTCAGCGTCCCCTTCTCCCAAAGGCTAGGATATCACTTTCACCATGTGCTGAAGCCCCAGCTTCAGTTTCATGTCCACCTACCTCCACCTCACGACCCTGCCCTTAAGTGGACTGAGCAAGCCCTCTCAGGCCTTTGCCTCTTGCCATCTGATCTGCTCAAGGCCCGCCCTGCCCTTTCCCTCCCCATCACCCCTTCTTCATCACCCCCCCTCCCTTCCTGCCTTTTTGGGGAATCCCGCCTCCTGGAAGCCTGGGTTTGACCCCTGGCCTGCAGGTGGAGGCATGTAGAGCTCATTGAAGAATGGGAAATTCAGAGACCTGTGCACCCCGCCCTGGGGGTGGGTCCTGAGCCATCCTTTCTCCTTTGGAGGAGGCGGCCAGTCTAGGTAGTGGGTAGGGGTCAGTGAGTGCTGGGGGGCAGGAGTGGCAGGCTGCAGAGGTGCTGATTGCCTGGACAGGTTACAGCGTCAAGTGTGAGTACTCAGCGCACAAGGAGGGCGTCCTCAAGGAGGAGATGCTGCTAGCCTGCGAAGGTGGCACCGGCACCTGCGTGCGCGTGACGGTGCAGGCGCGCGTCATGGGTGAGAGCACAAGGCGGGTCTGACTAGAGGAGGGAGGCACCAAGTTAGCTGCAAGGGGTTTCCATCCTCCTTGAGTATGAAAGAGAGATCCTTGCCTTGGCCCTTTGCCAACTTTCTTGGTAGGTGCCTTTCTCCCCGCCCCCTAGCAGAGTGGGGTTGTGGGGTGGAAGGTAGAGGGGTCCCCTTGGAGTAAACGGGGCCTGGGTCCAGCCGCACATACTGACTTGTCACCTGCCTTGCAGACCGCCACCACGGCACACCCATGCTGCTGGATGGTGTCAAGTGCGTGGGTGCTGAGCTCGAATACGACTCGGAGCACAGTGACTGGCACGGCTTCGACTGAGGCCCGCGCCTCCACCTGCCTCGGGGCCCCTCAGCCTTAAACCCCACCTTATCTCCCCGAATGCTGTTTGATGGTGTGGCTTCCTCGCCCCTCCCCAGGGTGGGTGTGGAGGTGGAGAATCCAAGGGCCTCCAAGCCAGAGCCTCACCCACACTTCTCACCTCATTTGTACCACCTCCCTGCTCCTCCTCTCCCACTTCGTCCTGTGTGCCTCAGTCTCCTGTGGAAGAAATGGGTTGAGCCCCCAAGGAGGCTGTCTGAGGAGGGATGGGAGGGGCCTGGGGGGGTTCTACCCACCCCCGACCCCAAGCCATAGGGGCTCTAGCCAGGACCTGGGAGAGGAGGGAGCTGGCTCTGGGGCATAGCCATCCCCGTTACCACTGCTGCTGTCTCGCTTTAGCCACCTCTCCTGTCCCCTCCCTCTTTCCCACTGTTGTCCACGGTGAGTAGGAGGGAGGTACAGTTTCCAACTCCTAACCCCCAGGTCTGTGTTATTTGGTTTTTAAACAACTGGTTGGGATAAAACCCTAAAGAAATAAAACTTTCAGTGGATACCAAAGGCCAGTGAGATTTTTGTTCTCCAGGGCCCTGAGAATACCCAATCCTTTGCAGATGGGCCAAGGAACAGTTTTGGCTAAACTCATTCTTTTTGGAGATAAGGTCACTTCATGGTATTAGAGCACCCAGTCCTGAAGGAAATATGCATGGGTGGCGGCATTGTAGGTCTGGGAATAATTGCCAAAGAAGAGTTTGGATGTGGAGGGGCCTTCTGCCGAGGTTACAGAGTGGGGTGTTCAGTTTGGGATACTTGACAGGGAGGAGCAGCAACTGCTCCTGGTCAGTTCCCAACCCCATGCACAGATGAAAACTTTCTCTCTTCTTTGTAGGACCCAGGCCCATCCCCCACCCCCGCCACTGGTCCACTATTTGAGGTACCGCTTTTGTGAGGTATCAGGAAGCCATGGCTTCACCTGGAGCATAAATGCTTTATTGTCACATTAGGGTTCCCGGGCAGGTAGGGCTGTTTCATGTCATGGTTGGGCAGGTACACTGAGTTGATGGCAGAGATGGGACCAGCCCTCAATGCTCCCTCTCCTCCCTACCCTCTTCACCTGGTGTGGCTGGATAGGGTGCAAGTGGATCATTCACAGGCTGCCCTTGGGGCCTTTTCAGATAGAAAGGAAAGCCCCACCCCAACATATGCCCCCATATGTGCCTTCTCCCTGTACTCTTCTCATTAGCTTGCTACCGCCCTTTCTACAATTAGCATTCACACTTGGGTGGTCAGCACCACACCCAGGGAGGTCCCACCACCCCGTCCCTCGTGGCAGCTCCAGTCCTTTTCCTACCCGGCTCCGTCTGTAGGCTTAGCCCGTAAGTCGGTGCACTCTGCCTTCAGGCCTAGCCCTGCACAACCTCTTCATCCTGCTGCCCCACCTGCAGCGGCCTTGCTCAGCTTCTAGCTGCCTCCAACCCCCAAACCCCCGCCCCACTCCCAGCCTGTCCCCTAGTTCTGATGAGGGCTCCAGTCTTCTGGTGCATTCTGCTTTCAGGATCACGTGCTCCCTGTGGGCACGCCACCTTACACACCTCTTCTAAGTCTTGGGTCCTTCAGCCTTCCAGTCAGCCAGAGTTTCCGGATGTGTCCCCTCCATCCTCCTGCGACCTCATCTCCAGGGGCAGGACTGCGGGGAACGGGGCGGGTTCGTCCTCCCCAGCCGGCTCCCTAGTGCTCGGCGCGAAAGAGGGCGCGGCTGGGCCAAGAGGGGCTGGCACTGCCCTTGCGCCCTCAATTGGAAAGGAAGTCGATGGCGGCGCGCACTGAGCGATTGGTGCTGACGTCGACGGCAGTGACCTTAATCTCAGTGTCGCCAAACTGCATGGCGGCGCGGATCTCGCGGCGACCCGGGGGTGTGTCCTCGGCGGGCTCGAGCTCCAGACTGAGCGCGCCGCACTTGCGCACGCCCGGGTCGGTGATGAAGCGCGCGTCCTCGGCGGCGCAGCAGTACAGGTTGATGAGCACGCGCCGCTGGCCCGGGCGCGCGGGGCAGTAGCTGCGCCGCACCTCCTCGCCCAGGGCCACCGACTGCTCAGCGGCCACGAAGCGCTCGAAGACATCGGTGCACCAGCGGCGGCCGTCGCGGACCAGCAGCTTGTCGGGCGGGTGGCGCCCAGCCACAAAGCGGTTGAGCACGCCCACGCCGTAGGTGAGCGGCGAGCGGCGCACCCGCACCACGCCCGGCGCCTGCCCGAAGAGCACCGCGCCCTTGAGGATGGTGAGGCCCACGTCGTGCGGAACCACCACGCGCAGGCCGCGGGCGCCCAGCGCTGCCTGCACCGCGTGCTGCAGCACCGCCGACTCGGCGAAGCCGCCCACCAGGAACAGCAGCTTCACGCCCTGCACCTCGGGGCGAGCCAGCACCGCCTCTGCGGGACAGGAGTGGAGGATGGGGGTAAAGAGAAGAAGGGCGGGGGAGCAGAGAGAGAGTGGTGGGGAGAGAAGGTGCGTTAAGAGCCAGAACCGTTGAGCCGCTGAGGCCACCACTACACGGCCACTGGCACCTCCCCTCTGTCTCTCTGGGCAACTAGAAACTAGCCATTTCACTATAAAACAGTAGCCTGGTTCTGATGAAAAAAACAGCACTTTCCTGAGGGCCCCTGGGAATCCTCATGGGCTCTGCTTCCCCAGCTCTCTTCCCTGCTTTCCCATCACAGCGTGGAAGTTTGAGATAAGGATCTGCATGTACACATATTAAAAGCCTACTGCATGCAAGACATTGCACTCACTCTGTAGATACTTTAGCTCGTTTAAATCCCTGTGATGACAGTTTGGGGAACCTAATACTATCACCCCACTTAGGGAAATTGAGGCATCAGAGGTTCTTTAACTTGGCAAGATTACAGACCCTCTCTCCTAGCTCTTATTCCCTACCGTACTGCATCCTCCACGTGTTCCAGATGACTCTGGGTCTCCTTCCAGTGTGTGGATATGGGGAGGATTCCAGGCACTAATAGGGAGAATTATTCCTGCATCTGGGTGTGTATATTGAGGTGAATGGAGGACCTAAGCTCAGGCGCTCACCTATGTGCTGGATGATCCCGCTGACTGTAGGCTGAAAGAGCTCGTTCATGGCCTCAGAAGACATCCGGAGCATCCCCTGTGAGGACCACTTAACGGAATTCACGCTGTAGGTGGTGAAGGAAATGGTCAGGATCAGGGTCAGGGTCCCAGGTTCTAAGCCTGTTCCAGGCCAATGTACTCGGGCACTGACTGCACATTATGTGTTATGCCAACCTCTCTCAGGGGCTTTAGATGCAGGTCTGCTCCAGTTCCAGGCATTGGTCCCAGGGGAGATAGATGTCGGCCTTTCCCGCGGGGCTCAAGATTCTCTTGTACCAGTTTGGGCTGACGATGTACTCATGACCCTCCCCCTGCCTCCACCAGGGCTGGCATGTTGCGTGGGGGCGCATCAGGAAGACACCCTACGGCCCCCTGGGGCCCACACCTTCCCCTGTAGGGGTGGTCCCGCGGCCCACCTGCTCCTGCGCAGGGCAGTCTCCACGTTTTGGCCTCGCTGCTTGCGGTAGAAGTCAATAAAGGAGAAAGGCAGTGAGATGTTCAGTGCTGCCGCACGGTGTGGGCCTGCCGTTCGTTTGCGGGCCTCAAAAGCTATAGTCAGATCCACCCATGCTGCTGGGCGTTGCCTTTTGAAGGTGACGATGAAGTCCTCGCCGAAAATGCGGCCCAGCAGCTGCTCAAAGGCCAGGTCCACGCCCACCGCGCCACAGGGGCCGCCTGGGGTGGGGCAGGGGATGAAAGGGGCGTCAGTGCCAACTCCGCCGCCAGGGGGCGGTGGCGGGGCCAGGGCGCGCTGGGTACCAAGGGCGCTGCCTGGCTACTCACCAGATGCCTTGTAGAGCTCCTTGAGGGTACCATGGGGCTGCTCCAGCTGGTGCACGGTCAGGTCCACCGTGCCTCCCCCACAGTCTGCCACCACATAGCGGTCTCCTGCGGCAGGGAGAGTGAGCACCCTCCACGCTCACCTCTGCACCCCCTCCAGACCCACCCAGCCTTCAGCCCTGCCCCAGGCCCCCAGCCGTATCTGCAGGGCCGTGGGGAGTGAGGGGTGGGCTGAGACGGGCTTCAGGTGCTTGAACCTCAGGTCACCAGGTAGGGGCACAAGGTGTGGGGAGAAATGGTTCCAGGGTTCTGTAATTTTATCCACTGAGAATCCCCAGAGGATTGCGTGGGTGTGTGGGGGGGGTGCAGGTGACTGTGAGGGAACTACCAGGTTAGGTACAAATGATGGAGTTGGAAGGGGCAGGGTTTCTCGGGACTGGAGCTGACTTCTGGAATGTTCCCTCCCCCTCACCCAGGCGTACAGTGTCCAACAGAGCCCAGGGAATATCCCTCCACCTCCCCTCCCCGCACCTGCTTGCATCTCTGCCCACAGCTCTCCGACTCCCGACTCCACCAGGAATGTGCGGCTGTGGCGGGACCTTCGAAGCTGCTCTCGGGCTGGGTGTTGGGGGACAGCAGGACAGCGAGGTTAGAAGGAAGTGCCTCACCCACCGCCATCAACCCCTGTCGCCCTGCCAACGCCCTCCATGAACATCTGGAGCAGCCAGTACTCCTAAAACTCCTGCTCCATTCCTAACTGAGAGGGCAAAGCTGAACTCCAAAGGGTCCAAAGAAGTCGAATGGGGTAATCTCAGGTGCTGTGACCAACAGCTGCGGCAAGTACAGCCCTCCCTTAACACTGGAGGGCGCAGGCCACAGCAAAATCAGAATTAGGAAGGTCTGGAGGAGCTGGAGGGGCAGGTCTTAGGACCTCTCCTTGTCATGGGAGATGGCTTCTGGCAAGATGACCAACGTTGACCATAGCTGTCTCAGCGCCTGGTCTGGCAGCAGGAGCTTGGGGCTGATGGGGGGAGGGCAGCTGATGTGGGAGGAGAAGGGCAACTGATTCAGTGGCTGTTTAAGGGAAAGCTCCTGAAGACCTCCACCTTCAGCTCACAGTACCCTTTGTCAGTACCCAAGCACCTCCCCCTAGAGTAGACTGTTACCCCCACCCCAGACTCAGGGAGTCCCAATAGGGCAAGGTGAAATCTCCAGGGACTGCCTCCAAGGCCACCACTGGGCAGTGCCCTTGGGGGCGGCTCACCCTGCCGGAAGCTGGAATCAATGGAGCGGCGCTCACCCAGGCGCCCACCGCCCGGGGCCTGGCTACTCAGGTCCAGGAGCTGGTGCAGACGCAGCTTGCGACAGTAGACAGAGGCAGCCTCAGGCTCCAGGGCAATGAGGAGTTGCTCTGCTTCCTCTCTCGACACCAGTCCGGCCTGGGGGTGGGTGGTGGGCAGGGTCGGGGAGCACCGTGGGCCAAGCGTCACACTGAAATGGCACCTCAGGGCAGGCAACCGGGCTTGTGGGGCTCCCACCTCCTCCCCATTGTACCCCACCCATACTAGGCCTCTCAGGCCCCTCCATGCTGCATAAATTTGGAGCTATCCCACAGCCACCCTGTGACCAGGCTGGGGAAGGGCATGGCCATGGCCAAGGATGCCATGGGGTTGCCCAGCAGGAAGAGACTCCAGACAGAATGAAAACCTAGAACCTGGGATCTACCCCCGGGCTGCCCAAGGCGGTCCTGGGCTGCAGCAAGGTCCTCTTCAGAGGTGCTGGGCTGGCCAGCTGAGCACTGGCTGAGGGGTTAGTGGAGACTCTAGCACAGTGTGTTGGTGGGGGTGTAACAGCCAGACCATCAATCAGAGGAGATGGGGGGCTTCCCCTTTGGTTCACTGAACCCTCTTTCTTCACCAGGCTGATGTTAGTGGCCCCAGGCCTCCCCACTCTCAGGAGAACTTTGTTCCCAGGGATTCTGATATAGAAGAAAGAAACTTTAACAGTGAAATTTCAGGCACCAAGTCAGGCCAGTTTGCGGGGAGAGAAAAATACTTGAGATCTGTTACTTCCTGCATTGGGGCAGAAGATCCCCATAGGAAGTACTTTATGGTTTTGTGGGAGTCCTCAGATTCTGACCAGGTAGGGGATGGGGATGGGTGGGTATAGAGACTTCTTGCCCAGGGCCAGCCCTTCCTGACCTGACAGGCAGCAAGCAGTATAGGAGGAAGCAGGGTGGGTACACCAGCAGTGGGGCACTGGGGTGAGGGTGTTTGTTCTGGCTGGGTACAGCCTTGCTTTAATCCTGGTCTCTGCAGAGAGGATGCCCACTGGCCTTGGGGTTAGCTCCTTCCAGAAACAAGTGGATGCACCTACAGACCTGGCACCTGGGGCATGCCCGGTCCACAGGTATGTCTGTAGGGGTTGGGGGCCCTGGTATCCTCCAGGGAGGGTGCACTGGAATTCCTGAGATCTCTTTTGGAGGTCCTAGGGTGTCCCCCAAGGCCCCAGGGGCAGGAGCAGGATCAAGCAATGAGCCCCTCTCCCACCTCCCTATCTCCACTGGAAAGAGGGTGTCTGAGCTGTGGCCCCCCTTTCTCCAGAGCTTTGGGCATCTCTTATGGTAGAAAGACGAGCAAACATTGGCCAAAATCACCTCCCTTCAGAGTTTCATAGTCCTTTTCCCCCTGTTCAAGAACTTGCAGTAGTTGGGACTGTGGTGGGGGTGGGGTTCCAGAAAATACTGATACTGGCTGAAGTGGATGTTCTTGGTGTCCTGCCCAGCTACTGTGAGTGTTAGCTGCTATTGGCTCACAGCTGTCCCTTCTCTGAAGAACTGCCCTCAGCTAAATGAGAACCGCCTCACTTGGAGAGGTCCCCCTCCCACTCCCCCAGTAACCAATGACAGACTGATATGGATGGAACAAAAGCCACCTCCCTGCCCCACCGTGGCCAACACCAGGGTACATTCTCCTCCAGAGCTCTTCAGGGGCTCAGACTGAGGCTAGACTCCAAGTGAGACACATGCCTGCTCAGCTCTTTCTCCTGCTTTCCTCACTCCCCTTTCCCCTGAGAGTCCTTCTTCAACAGACCGCAGGCACAAGAAGCCCCATCTTGGGCTCTGCCTCTAGGAAACCTGACTTAAGACCCTGGTTAAGCTAGCCTGCGCTGTGCCTCTTGTCCCTCTGCTCTCTGTTCCTGCAGGCTTTTCGTGTTTATGTTGCCCTGTCTTGGTGGCAACAACCCTCTAAAATGCCCAGCAGGGGAAGGCCAGCAGTCTTTACACAATGACTGTGGTGAATGAGGAAATGGGGCCATGCCGGGACCCTCCCAAGCAACGTCCACTGCTCCGCCTGCACATCCTCACCAGGTAGGCTGCCTCCCGCATGAACTGCTTGGCCGGCTGTTTCCAGATAGCGGGCACCGTCAACACCCAGCGCACAGCATCCTTCTCTGGAAGTGACGGGCACTGCTCCCTCAGCTCCTGGAGCAAAAGGGGGCAGTGAGGGGACTTGGGAGAATCCTTAACCCCCAACCCCCACCTCCCCAACACCTGTAGGGCTGATGGAGGCTCCACCAATAGGAAGGCAGGGGACTGGAGGGGATGACCATTGACTCTGCCAGTGGCTACCCATTGGATAGGTGGCAGGGAAATGTTGGACCTGGGGATCCTCCGCCCCAGTAGGCAGCACACCTGAAGAGCATGTTCCTTGAAGAAACGCAGGGCATGGGCAAACACCTCCAGGGCAGGCATTTTCTTTCCATTCACCGCTTCTAGCTGGGTCTTCAAGGTGAGATCCTGGTAGGGACACGGGACGACTGCAGGAGGTCATAGCTCTGCCTCCATTTCCTGATGACATCTTATAATCACCCCATTTCCGGGTGCTTCCCCTCTTTGGCACTGTCCTGCTCTGGCTCTGATCTAACATTAGTTCTGTCCCCTGCCCCTCTGTTCAGCCCTGTTCCTCCTACCTTATCTTCACCCCTTGGTCATGCCTTCATCCCTTACATCTAAACTCCGCCCCCCTAGCTACTCCTCCACCAGGCCACTCCTCACCTTTCAGCTTTGCCCACCTTTCATGAGACTTCCTGCTGCTCCCCCTCCTAGCCTTGCCTCCCTGGTGGAGCTGGGCCCTGAGCCACCATGTGACTCACAGTAGCACTGTGGATCTTCATCTTGAACTTCTCGAAGTAGAGCCAGTCCCGAGCCTCCTCAGGGTCCAGATCATGGTAATAATCACGGGCTGTATAGCCAAAGCTGTGAAAGGCGCCCTCCGGGGTCAGCAGCAGGCAGGTGGGGGTCTTCTGGTGGGCCACACCTGGGTCCCCACCCTCCCATTTCCTGTGGAGGCACAGGGCTGTCAGTGTGGTCAGCAGTAAACCTCCCTTCAGGGAGTTGGGTGCTGGCTCTGGGACCAGCTGTGTGACCATAGGAAGGCCACTTGGCTTCCCCAAGCCTCAGTCTTTCCATATGTAAAATGGGAATAATAGTACCTACCTCTTAGGGTTCTTGTGAATATGGTGCTTGGCATCCACTTAAATTGCTACAAATGTTGCTCGTGGGATCTTCTCTATCCCTGGGGCCATGGGTCCCATCTGACATTCTCAGCTCTTGCTCCCTACCGTGAGGTACACCATTTGACCATACTTCCCTGTTGTCTTAACAAGTGGCAGCAAGCCATCATCCACCTGCCTGGTCTGGCGTGATGGATGTGTCTCTCCAGGACCCTGGCAGAGATCTACTCCCAGGTAGCTGGTTTGCCCTCCTCTAGGCCATCTTCCGCAGCCAAGTTCTTTCAAGGCATTCATGATCACTCCTATCTGACCCACCTCAGCAGCTACACCCCAGGTGACTGCACCTCCAGTGGGCCCCTAAACCCTAAGATACCAAACATCCCCCGCCATCATCTGAACCTCCACCCAGAGCTCCCTGCCCAGGTCATTGGCCTGGCCAATCCTTCCTCCCCTTCCTCTGCCTTCTTTGATGCCCTGACTCTTAGGCATCAGAGTGAGGCCAAGCTCACCACTGCAGGTTTTTTGGGGAAAGAACTGAGAATCCAGGCGGAAGGAACAGAATGTGCAAAAGCTTGAAGCTATGAAAGAGCAGGGAGAATTAGCTATAAACTGGCTCAATATGCAGCAAGAGAAAATATAAGATCATTAAGGTCAATTAAGCAGGAGTATCAAATGCCATATTAGAATTCTCTCTTGGGTTTTCAGTAGGGGAGCAAAGAGGCATGATCACATCTGCCTTTAGGAAGGTCACTGGTCCCCATATAGCAACAGACTAGAGGGGAGGGAGGATGGAGAAGGAAATCCAGGGAGGAGGATATTGCAATCATCTGAGAGAGGGTGGGACCGAACTTAGGGGCGGTTGCGGTGGAGAGAAGTGGATGGGTATTACAGAGATATTAGGGAGATATAAATGATGAGGCTTGGTGGTTAGTGGGGGTGGGAAGGGTTTGGGAGGAGGCCAGGATGTCCCCCAGTTACTTCCTGTGACTGTTCCCTCCGCAGTGTCTCTTCATGTTTCCTCAGTCCCAGCACGGCACCCACCATAGCCTCAGCTATGTGTGCTGACAAGCTGGGATGTCCTGCGGCTCCAAGAGAGATCTAAGTGCCCAGAGCCTTTGTGGCCTCTCTTGGATGTGGAGGGAGCAGAGAAAGGGGAAGGACAATCCATGCTCATGCAGGTCAAGTTCCTTATGTCGTTGGGGCAGTGACCCTTTGCCTGTCTCTCCATCCACCCTTCCATCCAGCCTCCCAGGCCCTAGTGAAGCCCCATGAGCCCCCATCCCAGTCTGGGTTGGGAGCTTTGGGGTCTTCCTCCTACTGGCTGCAGCCCCATTAAAATACATTCAAAGGATCAGGGTCTTGAGGCCTGAAGGGGAGTTTCAAACAAATGTTTCGTTCAAACAAAACTCAACAAACTCCATCAGAAGGGATTTTTCAAACACGTCTTTCATAACAACTGTGTGACTTGTCAACTCAGTTAACCCTCTGATCCTTCATTTCCTTGTATTTCATTTGAGATGCTGGACCAAGGAACCTGCCTCTAGGAATCTACCACATAGAAATTCCAGCACAAATTTTCAAAGAAGGATATTCATTGCAGCACTTTTTGTAATAGTGAAAAATTAGAGGGAAAAATTCCTTCAAAACTATCCATAGAAGAATGGATAAATTATGACACATCTGTACTGTGGAATCCTATGCAACCGTCAAAAGAAAATGGTGGCTGTCTATGTATTGATGTAAAACATCGACAAAATAGTGTTGAAAATTTAAAATAAAGCAAATTGTATGATATCCCACTTTTATTTTAAAAACACATATTTGTGCATGTATGCGTGCGTGTGTGCGTTTGTGACAAGCTCAGAAAAAGATTTGTGTGTTTTACTGAATATTCATTATATCTCAATAAAAAACTTAAAAACAAAGGTCAACATTTCCCACAGGGGTCAGAGAGCTACACCTATTGGGGCCCCACGCCTGGGCCCCATCCTCCAACCTTTTGCCCCAGTGGGGAGCCCAGACTAGGAGTGGAAGGAGCTCTGAGGAGACCTCATGTCTACACGGTGACAGTACTTCTAGGACCAGGCTTCTCCCAGGGTCTAGGACCTCCCCACCAATCTCCCAGCCCAGCCACCCTCACCTCATCATGTGGATGGCTTCAGGGTCACTGGCAAAGCTGAAGGCATAGCCACTGGATGTGGTGCCAAAGTCGATGGCCACTACCACGGAGAAGGGGGCCCGCTGCGGGGCTCGGGGCTCGGGCTTCTGCAAGTGCAAGACCAAGTCAAGGAGCAGCCAGAGGGCCAGGCTGGCTGCTTGTGGGAGCTCCTCCCCTCCTGTTTGTGGTCCAGACCGGCCCTGCCCAGCCCCACCCACCACCCGCCTGCCTGCTCCCCTTCCCCTCCTAATCTCCAGGCTGAGCCCTGGAGATGCTAACTGCTCAGAAAGGCCAAGGCCTCTCAGGTAGCCCCATGAAGTTTTGGGCTCAAGCTCCTCCTTCCCTACTTCCAATTCTCAGGCCACTTTCTGCCTGTACTGCCTTGGCCCCACCCCCATCTCACACCATATCACAGCCTGGGCCCAGATGGGAGCAATTTTGCTGCTCGGAGCAGCTTCACAACACACGGACTTGTGTCTATTTGACCCTCTTGCTCTTTGTGGCCACAGTGACACAGCCAGACTCTGTCCAGCTCTGTAGCAGAGAAGAGAGGCCCCATCCACATGCCGAGGAGTGGGCCCTGCCTTCTCCCAGGCCAGGCCTGGGCTCCCTGAGAACAAGGGGGTCCACAGGCTGGATCACTACGGTGACGTCATCCCAGGTGGGGAGACCCAGGGAGCTTGCAGGAGGGTGGTTATGTCCTGGATGCTTCAAGCTAGCAGTTGCCAAACTATTTTTTAGCAATGTATCTCCTCTTCCCTAGATATACCTTGTATTTTTCAAATTGTTCTATATTTTTATTAAGAATTAGTGCTTGAAGAAGTTTAGATAATAATATACACTAATTTTTTGCATAATCTGATCATACAGGCATTAATAAAGCTATAAATTGAAGTAGATATTTTCAGGCTTGAAGAACATATTGTTTCCATCTGTTTTCAGGCCATTTCAGCAAAACACAGCAGGTGCAATCACAGCAAACAGTCCAGGACGGAGAAGAGAAACAGCGACATGTTTCTCATTAATAGGAAAAAAATCTCTTTTTTCCCTCTTCTTCAGATTATGTAAAAATGTTTTATCTCTACTTTCATAACATTTACTACCTAACTATAAAAGCAATATTACCACTTAAGATTTATAAAATACAGAGGAAGTATTTTCTTTTAAAAAAAGGAGAAAAAAATATTACCTGCGATCTCACTACTGAAATAACCAAAGGCTAGACAGAGCTGGCTGAACTCTTACTTTGTCATTAGTAGACGTGTGACTTTAGGCAAAGGACGGTCTTTTCTATGTATACTTGGCATTAAGGTGGGGCTGTGGTTGACAGGAGGGGAGGTCCAGTGCTCTGAGGACCTAGGAAAGCTACTCGCTCAGAAGTATACTTGGCCCAGGCAGGCTAGAGGGAGACAATGGTCCCTGAACGTCACCTTGGAGCTGGCTCACCTCAGTAGAACTGTTACTCCTATGGGCCAAGGCCACCTAAGGCTAACCCTTCTGGGGAGAACATGAGTGGAGTGAGAAGGGGCAGGAGGCCGGGTGGCACCGCCAGCCCAGCCCCAGTGACGGACACTGGCGTGACCCCCCTCCACCCCCCAGGCCACCTACCACCCTCATCCCTGCTCTAGGCTTACTGGAGACTGTGAGGGTGTGAGTGGGGCAATGCCACAGCTTTCCTGGGTCCTTGGGGAGCCGGGTGGGCTGGGCACCGGAGACCGCTCTGGGCTGGAGCCTGCAAAGAAAGGGAAGTCACTCTGGCACTGTCAGGGTAAGGGGCTGCTGGCCCGGCCCCAGGCCTGGGAGGCTCTCCATCAGTCATTGCTGGGCCAAGGTAAGGGAAACTCTGCTGGGGAAGGGGGACGAGGGAGGGAGGGTAGAAAGGCCAAGACCGAGGAGGGGTTGGTGGTGCCCTAGCTCAGGGCCTGGTATCCGTTAGAGGCAACCTGTTCCTGAGGGGTGACTCATGCTTCACCTAAGAACTCACTGTTTCTCCCAGAGCCCCTCAGACACAGTGAAGTGAGGAGACAGAGAAGTATTGTGGGGGCAGGGGAGACTGAGTCCAGGAAAACCAGAAAAGGTGGGAGAACTACAGGCCTAACTGAGTGGGAGGTGGGCCTGCTCCTCTTCCCTGTAAAGTTCAGCCACATGGCTCTAATCAGGACCTGACGGAGTTGCCTCCCCTCCCCTCCCCACAACAAGGACCAGGGACAGGCCTAGCAGGCTGACTGGTGAGGATCAACGGTGGGGACAGCATCTCCCCCAGCCCTGACCCGAGAGGTGTCCACAGACTAGGAAATCAGATTCCAAGCCTCTGCTCTCTCACAACACACATACACCTGGAGCCACTGAGACCCTCTCACTGGCCCAGGCCTGAGCTGGACCTTTGGTGGGAAGAAGCAGCCCAGCGCCTGGAAGGCAGCCCAAAGCCTGGCTTGGAGGCTCAGGCGCTAAGGGGGCAGGAGTGGCTCAGGCCACTGCCTGGCCGGACATCCTCCTGGTGTGGGCTGGTGGCTTATCACCACACACTGGGCTTCGCTAAGGCCCCTGTGACGGGCACTGGGGTAGCTCTGAGATTCATGTATGGTGATGGGGAGGCTGGCCAGAAAGACCGACGGGGTCTGGCATGAAGACATATCAGCAAATCAAACAGATCTATCTGGCTTTAGGCTGAGCCAGGGCCAAGGCCTGCACTCCCACAGTCACAGCCGTGTGGCCCTGATAGGTCCAGGCCCTCTCTGGCCTTGGGGTACCCTGGGAACATATGTAAGGGGCTAAGCATGTCAGGGACTCTAGGAAGTGCCTGGACAGGGCTGGTGTCTGTCTTGAGGTGCTGGAGGAGCAGGGACATGATGGTCACAGTTCCAGAACTCCCTTTCCTCAGGCGACAAGTGCAGGCTTGGGCCCTGTCACCAGCTCCAGCTGGAGGGGCAAAGTTGCTGTCGCTTGAGCCTGGGAAGGGAGGCAGGAAGGAAGGCCCAGCCCGCCAGTTCTTTGTGAGTGAACTTCCTGAGGTGTGTCCCGCCTGCCTCCTGGCCTCCTACCCCTGCACAGAACCCAGAGCCTGCTCCCAGGCCAGGCCACAGGCAGGAGCGCACATACACACACAGAATTCTGAGCAGACATACACACTCTCACACAAAATCCTGTGCCCAGAGACCTTCACACAGAGAGACAGGCAGACATACTACACACAGACCCTGCACAAAACACATGCACATGCATACAGTTCTGTGCACAGAGACCTGCCCCGCATACACACACTTGCAGACAAAGGCCCCATGAACAGGCCTGCCATCCAGGCCCACAGAAGCACACACACTCTCACATACACGGTCCTGTGTGCACCGACCCTCCTGGATACACCGTCTCACAGAATGGCTCTGGGGAGCCTCTGCTGGGAGGGGCACGTGTGGACAGATTCGGGGTGGGTCTGAGTGGGAGGTGGGGGTGGGGCGGGCCAGGCAGAGGTGAGGGGGCAGGTCTTACCGATGTGCAGCCCCTGCAGGCTGATCTCCGGGACCGCCAGCATCTCTGCAGGCGCTGTGGCTGTAAACAGGAACAGAGAAGCAGAATGGCATTTATTTGTTCCTTTGTTACCTCACTGAATGCTTATTTATTTTATTTATTTACTTTCAGCTGGAGTCCTTTGAAGCACATCCCAGACATCACGTTGCTTGACCTATAAATTCTTTAATATATCTCTAACAGAGACTTTTTAAAAAACATTGCCACAACACTATTATCATGTCTAATAAAATCAACAGTAGTTCCCTAATTTCATCCAATGCTCGATCCCACAGTCCCAGCTTGCCTCAAAAATGTCTTTTTGACAGTTGCTTTGTTGGAATCAGGATGCTTCTAAATGTTTTTAGGTGCCCACTCTCTGCCAGGTGATGGAGGACATCAGTGACCCAGAGAGATACTGTCCCTGTCCTGGGGGCCCACAGCCTGGTGGGGATACATTCATAATCAGAGACAGGATCTGAGACTACGAATGATACTGTGAAGGATGTAAGTGAGGCAGAAAGGGGAGAGTGGCAAGGCTGGAGAGAAGGGCTGGGCTGGGCTGACCCTGCAGGCAGAGCCTGGTGGACCCAATTTTAGGTCTGGTTTTACATAAACGGCAATAGCAAATCTTGAAAGGTTTCAAGTGGCAGAATGGAGGCAGGGGCATGACTAAATCTGCATCCTCTGGCTGCAAGGGAAGTGTGGACTGCAGCAGGACCACATGGAAGCAGGAGCCCAGTCAGTGCTCCAGGCAACAGAGGATGGTGGGGGCTGTGTGTCTTGAGTAAGATGTGCAGACATTTAAGTCAGAGGTTAAAATCAACAAGGCTGATGGAGGATAGCTAGATTGGACATGGGAGGCTAGAAAGAAGAAGGGTGACATTGTCTGGTCCAAGCTAGGAGATGGATGGTGAGATGGAGAATCCCGGGGCAGGGCAGGCTGGTGGGGAAAAGGGGCAGTGTTCTGGGTACAGCTTTGAAACTGTTGAGAGAACAGACCAAAGTTTGATGACGTATGATCCAGAGGTCAGGGAGAAATCTGAGGTGGAGATGTGTGTTTGAAAGTCATTGTCACAGGAGGCTTGGCAGAGAGCAAAATAGGGGAAGGGAAGGGAGGAGACGCTGTGAATAAACGTTGACTGGAGGAAGGGGGCTGGCCAGGAAGACCGAGATGCCTGCTATGGCTTCAGGAAGATCTTGATAAGAGAAGGCTATGAAGGCAGATGCCTTCAGAGATTTTAGATAAGACTGGAAACACCTGTTCTAATGGCTCATGGCATTTCGGTGACATGATGGAGATGGAGTGGGAGTCAAGTAAGCCTGCGCGAGGAGGGAACAGGGGTGAGAGAATGGAGCTGGCACTGCGGGGAAGCTTGGCTGAGAGCAGGAGCTGATGCGCGCAGCACCTGCAGGAACATAGAGCTCGAGGATGGGAGGACAGGTTTTTATTTCCTTTTCGAAGAGGGAGGACCTTGAGCTTGTGTCTGTGACGTTCTGGGGGCCAAACTAGAGGCACTGTCCTCAGGTCATTGACAGCTTTGTTACTCCAAGTGCGGTATCACAACAGCAGCACTGGATCCCCGGGGAGCTTGTTAGAAATGCAGGCTCTGGGGCTCCGTCCTGGGCCCACTGAGTTAGCACTTGCTTTATAACAAGTTCCCAGGTGGTAGGGAGCACCCTAATGTTTGAGAAGTGCTTCCTGGTCCAGTCTCAGCTGGGGGCTAAACAAGGGTGGGGGTGGCCCAGAGCCCATTCCCTCTCTGTAGCAATGGCTGATCAGGAAGTTTTGCTACCAGAACACAGGCAGACACAGAGCTGGGCACTGTCACACCCACACACACACACAAGTACACACCCTTGCTCCCACAGAGTTCCCACAACCCAGCCCCATCATGGACAGACACCCAGGCATGTCCAGGATATTCCCGCATGGCCAGCACCATGGAGATTTCCAGATACACGCAGTCCTACTATCATCAGAGGTGCACAGGGGGATGTCCAGGAATCAGAATCAGGGGAAACACAGGGGTAGGTCATGGGCGTTTGCAGAGCAGCTGGGTGATGCTGAGAAAAGAGAAAGCAAATGATGGGGGTGGGTCTGGGCCTTGAGAGCCAGGGACAGGAGCCCAGCTCATGGTGATGGAGTGTCATTCTGGACGTGGTTCCCACCAGCTCCCAAGAGCTAACTCTGTGCATCTGCATTCACTGACATCACATCGATAGCTTGAAATCAGCCATGGTGATTACTCCGCTAAAACTGGCAAACACTGCAGATCACGTTTTTCTCCCTCTTGGAGAGCTGACTGTAAAACATTTACCAGCACACTGCTGGATCAAGGCCAGGAGGGAGAAGTTGGCAGTCCTTTTTGCACATTGTTTCAATTCTTCAGCAAAAACTTATTGAACTTTCCTTCTGCCAGGTTCTGCACTAAGCACCAGGGAAACACTTTGTTGAATGAATGAATAAATTTTCCGAACCAAAGCTATTGCATTTGAAGTAGAAACCATCTAGAACCACCAGGAAAAAAGGCTTCAGGAGTCGTCACTCTAAACAGATTCCATGTCCAGCCACGTGTCTATAATCTCCCCAGCTCTGGGAAGCTGATCCAGCTAGTCCCATCTCTGAGTGTGTGATACACTGAACACCCCTACACTGGGGTCTCGGGGCTGACAAGAGCCTATTATGATATCTGGCTGGTGTGCATTATCTTGCCTCTCTGTGCCTCAGTGCTCTTTTCTGTGAAATGGATCATGCAAGGGCCTTGTGAGGATCGAGTCCAAGTAAGGGGGGAAGGTTGTTGATTAAAGCAAGGAGTTGGACAGATGTGAACAGTGTTCTTTCCCTCCATGATGTGGATACTGAATGTTCCCTTGTTAGAAGGTTTTGGTCTCATTGAGGCTTTTATTCTAGTCATTCTGAGTTCTTTACAGAGGGAGGGAGGCCCTAAATCAATCAGTGTTAAAGAAGGAGGATCCTGCTGATGCTTTGCGAGGTGGAGGTAGAGGGGGTGGCAGCCACACAAGCGTGCACACATGCCCCCTCTGCCTTCGGGGCCATCCGCACTGCGCATACACACCCACTGTATGGTGTGCTGATTGTGGTGCTCAGGACAACCATATCTCCTAAAAGCTGCATCTGGGCAGAATCTACAGCTGGAAATGGGGGAATTAGATCCCTGCCCCAGGGACTCAGTAATTTCAGTGGTGATGCTTATGGGTTTGAGAATAATTGGGTGGGGCAATTTGATTTACACAGAGAGTAGCTTCATTTCCTGGCTACAAGAGGAGGCTAAATTCTGGCCCCAGCCTGACCCTGACCATACCCACAGACAGACCCTTAACCCTGCCCGTGGACTGACCCCTAGCCCTTGGTTTCATATTGACTTCTAATCTTCAGTTTTACTCTGATCCCTGACCCTGACTTCTACCCAACAGGCATGACTGGGGACCAGGACAGGGTGTGGCTGAGTAGAGACTCAAAACTGAGTAGGGAGACTCCCATCCCAGAGTGTCCCCTAGACTCATAAAAGCCTAGGACTTTTTGCCTGATGGAGACAAATCTCCGATGATCTCTTCCTCGGATTGGGGTGATGAGGCTGGGTATGTCCCCCAGAGCATGGGAAGCATGTGATGTTGCTGGATTTCAAGGCTCCACACACACCTGTCCTCTGCCCAGGAGGACAAAGAGCCCACCCCATCTTTTCAGCTCATCTCCATACCCCTTAAGCCTCCTTTCACTGGGACCCTGCCTCTCCCATCCACTGTTCTCTGCTCAGCATCCTGCCAGTTCTTTAATGGAAGAGCACTCGGTCAGCAAGCAAAGAGAGGCCACAAGTATTTCTCCCAAGCCACAGATTGAGCCAACCAGGGCCCAAGGGACAGATCAGAAGTGGCACTCAAAGGGCTGCCCCAGTCTCTATCTGGAGAGGAGCCCTCAAGGAGAGGGGCCAGTGGGAGCCTGAGGGATATGGAGTCTGCCTTCTGGGCTGGGGCAAGGGGTGACTGAAATGCCTCCCGAGGGCCCTGCCTGTATTTAACTTTTCTTTGCATACATCCTGCCCACCCCCATGGGTCCTCATCGTGGGAGCAGCCAATTAACAAACAACCTCTCTCCCACACAGCCTAGGGCCTGAAGCCCCTCCTACCCTCTGCCCACTGTCCCTCATCACCTCTTTCACCTTCTGGGGATCCACGGCTGCCTTTGGGTTCACAGGGAGTCCATATTTCAGAGCTCCCTTCCTCCCAGACTCTCCCCCACACAAGTAAGCTTTACAAGCTGGCTCCACTGCAAGGCCGCAGGGAGCCCAGACCCCACCCCACCTGGATCCCCAGGCCGGCCTCAGAGAGAGAAACCAGAGGTCCCTGTTCATGAGGCCAGCCCACAGTCTGGCACCCGGGCCATCCAACCACTCCTGAACTTTCTGGACCACGGGCAGTGGGAACTCCCCCTGCAGGCACCCCTCAAATACACACACTCAGCCACGGGGTCTCCACCTCTGGCCTAAGCACCGTGTCCTCCACAGATTGGCTCCCTGGAGCAGCCCCTGCCCCATGCCAGACGCCCAGACACAGAAGTCTCTCCAGGCCCCCACCCTCCGCAGGACATGGGTGGGGTCCCAAAGCCCGGATAGCAGCCCACGGTCGCGGCCCCAGCTGCCTTCCCGAACCGGCAGCCCTGCTGGGGAGATCAGTCCCCAGTCTTGACCCCCAGGGTCAGGAAGTTGGTGGCGGGGTCTCTCAGCCGCCAGCCCGCGACGGGACGGCAGGCCTTGGCGCCTTTCCCCTCTCTGAGAGCCCAGCAGCTCCCCCGCCCGCCCAGGACTCACCTCCGCCCTCCCGACAGCTCGACCTCCGTCCAGCCGCCCGGATCCTGGGTCCGCAGCCGGTGCGGTGGCCTTGCCCTGCCGTGGCGGCCGC